GTCACATAAGACATAACTACACCTTTATCAAAGGATTTCTCGAATTAATCGTATAGGTCCGTACTCAGAAAAAGACACATTGATTGTTGGAGTAAATTGCTCTGCCTCAGAGAATCTGTTCAAGGATCAATCTAAATCACACTAGGCCAAGATTGTGCTGTCTAAGGTCCTCACTTCAGTCACTTTATCCTCGGGAGAAATGATGATATTCATCAAGCTTGTCTGTAGGCATGTAGGTGAAAAGCTTTAATACTGATTTAGAAACTGACCTATGGTCTATGTTCGAAGACTTTAGATATTTCCTATATGTTATTTAAATATCAAAAGCAGACCTTTATATCCTTCGAATCGTTTCTTATCTGACGGTAATCGCCTTTCACAACTTCACACACTGTTAGAGTTCATACATGACCTTCCGTACCCCTAGGTCAACAGTTTTCTTGCTTCAGTATTATCTTCAGAGTCACATGAAAACTTACTACAGTTAATGACGATTGCTGCTATACACCAAAATATATGTTACTTGATAATAAAAAAGCGGTAAAACACCAGAAACAATATAAATCTTTATAGTAATCATTACCAAGGTTTGATTTGATAATTTCGAGTAAACTGAGCATTGGGTAGATTGTTATAAATAGGCAATGGAAATGGATAGGACATACATTACGCAAGTCATCAAACTGCATCACGAGACAAGCCCTAACTTGGAATCCTGAAGGGAAGAGGAAAAGAGGAAGGCCAAGGAACACATTACGTCGGGAAATAGAAGTATATATGAAAAGGATGAATAACAACTGGAGCGAGCTGGAAAGGATTGTCCAGGACAGGGTCGGATAGCGTGTGTTGATGGGAGGCCTATGGTCCTCCACGAGGAGTAACAGGCGTAAATAAGTAAGTATGCTACCACTCGTTGAAGACAATATCGCGGATTGATTGAAGTTAGATATTGACACTATTAGTGATTTAGAGGTTAAACGGTCGCGCATGAGACCAAAGGCTCTGGATTCGATTCCCCTGTGTAGAGTTTCATGGGTGAACACATCTGAGGAGTCTCATACTAGAACGAAACGGCAACTCAATACTTCCAGGTTTTCAAAGGTAGTCTAATAATGGTCGATTCATAGTTTTAATGAAATTCAACACTCGATTCAATCCCTTACTGACAATACAGGAATAATATCATAAACCATAATTCAGTGATAAAATGAAGATTTTGTTTTTGATAGTATTTTTAATTGTAACTTCAAATTGTTTGTACCTAATGTGGCACCTTAACATAGAATTATGCAGTTATCACATTCTAAAAATCATGTCCTCCTCGGTTTATTTAAATTTAAGTGAACAATTGTTTTCAGTTAGATCGTCATCAGACTTTACTCTAATATAAATGAATATTTATACGAACATCTACGAGTAAAACCTCGTTTTTCCAACTCCCTAGGTGGACTCTCCATGTTCACCGGCCCGATTAAAGCGCCGGACATTCGCTTTTCATCCCCTCAATTTCGTAAACAACATCCATGGCGCGACAAGGCAGTGAGTAGGACTTTCCCGTCAGAGGCTATACACGCGTGGCCGTGTGAGAGCATTTTGAGAGGGCGGGACCTCCCCACTCTTGGCTGTACCAGGGCATTTGATTGTGTACTATAAGATGATATGGAATTTTCTTTCCATAAATAATACCCAATAAAAAACTTAGCGTTAATAACTTTATTCATAAATCTATACAAAACTCTAAATTAAAAAAGTTACACATTGATTGATAATGTTAGGAACTGTGTTAATAAACTTGATTGATAGAATTTGCTATAACTTGTCGTTTTGAATACTGATTGTTTTGGCTATCATCCATTGGTTAGTTAATATAATAGAGAGATCTATAGAAACTAGGGTAGTTAAGTGATAAATTCGTTGACTTTGACATTGATTCTCTTATGCTAGAATTGTATAGGGTGAATCAAATTTTACAAAACTGAAGATATTATCTTGCTGTTGAATGTAATTTAGCATAAATCTTATAAAACAGAATTTCATACTAATTGTTTCCAGTTATAGTAATATAGTATTGATAAACTTTTACGTAATAACCTTATATTATTAAAAAAAGACTTCTTAGATGAATATTACATCATAATATCAATGCTTGTTTTATGAATTCTGTTTAATATCTATGATATTACTGCTAATATATAGAAGTGGTAACTACTGTAATTCGTATGACATGAAGTAAAAACACAGAGACTGGTATAAATGAAAATTTATTAACAATTTCAATGGTTGAGATCATGAGTTAATTAAAGCTAGACCACCACAGAAAACCTAGGAGCACTGAACGGTCGTTTCGTCCTATTGTGGGACTCCTCAGCAGTGCTCATCCACCATTCTGCCTCGCAACTTTGTTAAACCAAACTCATTCATTTAATATACTGATTTTATTCTCATTTAAGGATAAGTTTTAATGAATATTATGTTAATTAAAAGATACAAAAGTTTACTGTAATAACATTGACAAAGGTCATATAGAATAACATAAAGAATATAATTATTTAACTTGATAAAAATTCATACCTGTCATATTGAATAAACTTCACACTTAATTAATGTATAAAATAATGACCTAAAATAAGGTTATACTGAAAAATACGAAAACGATAAATTAATGTTATACTATATAAAATATTAGATTGAGACTGACGAGTCCCGTAATAGGACGAAACGGCCTTCTAGTGTTTCCAGGTTTTCTATGGTTGTCTAACTTTAATTAACTCATGATCTCAAATAATGAAATAAAAAAAAGTAAAACAGAATTATATTGGAAACAAAAATAATTATTATGAAACATAGTGGTTAGTTGTTGAATCTAATATATGCGTGTCATTCTATTTTGAGACTCATTAGCTGAATGTGCCTGGATTACATGATTAGCTACTATCCATCTTTGCTTATAATACTTGTCATTTACTTAAGAAAGTATCAAGGCAATCTACACAGAATGTACATATGATGATAAGTGAAACAGATCAATTGCAATCCTAAATATTAATGAAAAGATTCAAATAAACGATATAAAAATGAATTGAACATTGTGAAATACTGAGTTAGAAACAACATAAATTTACTTCATTATTTCAACTTATATATACTGTACAGAATTAATGCCACTTATGAAATTCATATGAATCAACGTTATGGACGTGAAGCTATTGTACGTTGTGAATATACACATACAGATAATAGAACAATTTATCGTGAAACATTTCTACGTGAAGCAACAAAACCAACTGCACCAAATGTAAGCTATTATTATAACTATTCTTTACATTGATCTCATTTCATTTAAATGAATTGTGGAGTAGTGATGATATATATAAAATGAGTATTGTTTACTCTATTTAACACTTGTCTACCAGATTTACTTCCATTCTAATGTTAACAACACACGTTCATCCTCGAGCCTAGTACCTATTACTTTAAGCATTTAATATTTATTATTATTATTATTAGAAGCTTTATTCAACATTATATTTTTTGGTACAACATAGAATTCTCAGCATAAAGTGTTTCAACAAGTTTCCTTTTATTATACCTTGATCTATTGTGACGATAAATTTTGAATGATGACCGGTTACATGTTAGGAGTTCAGTAATCCACATTTGATTAATGTTCATTCGTTTCAATGCATATTGCCAGCCACCATGATGTCGCTGATTGTACCTTTTTGTATCCCATATAGCGAAAGGTTGTAAACTTTTCATAAACGCGCCTGAATAGATTGTGCGCACAATAGACATGCTGATATGCTAAAACAAACAACAAAACAGATAACTTGATAAAATATCTAGATCAGAGGAACATGTAGTCCAGATATTCAAGCAGGCCGCCTAAGAAAGTATCACTTCTAATTTAATTCTATGACCTACTGATTTTACATAGCTATTAAGAGTATCAAATATATTTTTAAGTGCTCATTTTTTGTTCTCATTCCCGGTAGTTTGAACTACATTATCATTTGTAATGAATTAATTTTCAGATTACTGTTCTATGTACTGGATTAAACTTGATCTATACTGAGTGATTAGACAGTGTAGTTAAACTGTGTCAGGTGTTAGGCAATTACTCAGCAAAATCAATGTGAGATGATTACGCCATATAATGAACTGATTGGAGTTTGACATTAACACTGTCAAATCCGGGAATTCGCGCTAGACCGAAGGTCCTAAGTTCTATCCTTTCTGATAGGAGTCTGCTATGGGCAATGTTGAAAAGTTTTTATTGGCACGAATCGGATGTCTAATACATCTAGTTATTCAGTGTTCATTTAACCTAGATCGGTTCATAATTTTGAATAAATTCAACACTCGCCACATCCATATACTGATATGATGTTAATCAGTATTCTGCGATAAGTAATTGTAATCATATCATTTCTGTTGAACGTCACTCGTGACCCAAACATCACAAAAGGTTCGAATGCAATAGGGACCATTAATTCCTTCACGTTTATGAGTATGCCTTTCTGAACAATAATAACTATCATGAAACCTAAATCTAGGATTTCCAGAAGACTGTCTACAACTAACTGATACTAAAACATAGTACATGAAATATCGGGTTACTAAGACTAGTGAACTTACTATAACTTGATTGGTTGAATTTGATCAGTGCTAAAAGACTAGACAAACATAAAATCAAACACTGCTCAAGGATCAATCAATACCTATCAACATTTGTAGTACTTAAAGAGAGACTGATTCTTATACTACTATTTACATCTTAGAGTAATGTATAACATTAACTGTTATCAATCAAAAAATAAACTACTAAAAATAGCAATGTAGGGAATAATAATTTTAAAAGTTTCCTTATATGATCAAATAACATTTCACTTGGCAAACACAATACTTTACATTTTCATTCATAAACCAGAGATTATATTTATTCAATCTCATTAATCATTCACAAGATTACGTAATATGATTAATTTATAATTACTTACTTACTTACGCCTGCTACTCCCAATCGAGCATAGGCCGCCGACCAGCATTCTCCAACCCACTCTGTCCTGGGCCTTCTTTTCTAATTCCATCCAATTCTTGTTCATCTTTTTCATGTATATTTCCATTTCTTGGTGTAATGTGTTCTTTGGTCTTCCTCTTTTCCTTTGGCCTTGAGAATTCCATGTGAGGGCTTGTCTTGTGACGCAGTTGGGTGCTTTCCTCAATGTGTGTCCTATCCACTTACAGCGCTTCTTCCTGATTTCTTCCTCCGCTGGGATCTGGTTTGTTCTCTCCCACAGTACGTTGTTGCTAATAGTGTTCGGCCAACGGATCTGAAGTATTTTGCGTAGACAACTGTTAATAAACACCTATATCTTCTGGATGATGGCTTTCGTAGTTCTCCAGGTTTCCGTCCCATACAGTAGAACTGTCTTGACATTTATATTGAAAATCCTGACCTTAGTGTTGGTTGACAGTTGCTTTGAGTTCCAGATGTTCCTCAGTTGTAAATATGCTGCTCTTGCTTTGCCGATCCGTGCCTTCACATCTGCATCAGATCCACCTTGTTCATCAATGATGCTGCCCAAATATGTAAAGGTTTTTACATCTTCCAAATCTTCTCTGTCAATTGTGATTGGATCGGTGCATGCTGTGTTGTATCGGAGAACCTTGCTCTTCCCTTTGTGTATATTGAGACCTACTGCTGCTGAGCCTGCTGCTACACTGTTCGTCTTCTCCTGCATTTGTTGTTGCGTTTGGGATAGAAGGGCCAGATCATCTGCGAAGTCCAGATCGTCCAACTGCATCCTAGATGTCCATTGTATCCCGTGCTTCCCTTCAGATGTTGACGTCTTCATGATCCAGTCGATCACCAAGAGAAAGAGAAAGGGTGAGAGTAAGCAACCTTGCCTAACACCGGTCTTCACTTCAAACGACTTTGTCAACTGTCCTCCATGCACGACTTTGCAGTGTAATCCATCATATGAGTTCTGTAAGATATTGACTATCTTCTGAGGCACGCCGTAGCGTCGAAGAAGTTTCCATAGTGTTGTCTTGTCCACGCTATCAAATGTCTTTTCGTTGTCAATGAAGTTGATATAGAGTGATGAATTCCATTCAATTGATTGTTCCACAATGATCCGTAGAGTTGCGATTTGGTCAATTCATAATTAGTGATAAATTATATATTGACTATTACAAAAATCTCATAGGGAAAATTATGTTTTATGTATATGTATATAACTTCTAAATAATTCAATATATATATATATATATATATATATATATATATATATATATATATATATATATATATATATATATATATATATTGATTTATTCATTACTATAAGAAGGGATGTTTAGAAAGCAAAGTTTCCTTTCAAACAAAATTTTTTTTAAAAAAGTATTGTTTCAGAAACTAGGGTAACATAAACATAGAGATATAAGTGACGAATAGGAAATACAAAAAAGAAAAGAAACTATGACAGGAAAAAACAAACTATGTAGCTTGATCAATATTATACAGACTATATAGCTATTTAGGTAGATAGAAAGAGAAATATAAAATGGTTCCGTTTAGATGAATTTATCCATTGAAATTTATTGATTAGAATAGCATAATATTGGTTCATATAATCTTTAGTGTAGTCTTAACTTTATTAAGTGTCAATATCTCTTAAACATATACATATACATATGTCATTGATAGAGTTATATTTGATTTTGGCAATAACAAAAAAAGTAATAACAATTAAAGTATAGTATGGAGATAAACAGGAAATTTACTTTAAAGATTTTGTATAAAATTCAAAATGTGTGACGCAAAAGTACTGGATGGAGAATCTACTGCAATATTTTTAGGTGAAAATATAAATATTATTGGAAAAAGCCGGCTGAAAACTCTGTTGATACTGGTGATGACTAGTGAACATAGCAGAAAATATTTTAACTAGCAAAAAGTATTACATATTTTCGAAAGAAGGTAATTTATATGATTTTAGAACAAAATGAAAGATTTTTTTGTTTTTCAAGGTTTCAGATACTGTGGTCGAACCGTACAATGCCACACTGTCGGTACATCAGCTTGTTGAAAATACTGATGAAACTTTCTGTATCGACAATGAAGCATTGTATGACATCTGCTTCAGAACACTTAAATTGACCAATCCCACCTATGGAGATCTCAACCACTTGGTTAGTGCGACCATGTCGGGAGTGACGACTTGCCTCAGATTTCCTGGACAGCTGAATGCTGATCTACGGAAACTGGCGGTCAATATGGTCCCGTTTCCTCGATTGCATTTTTTTATGCCAGGATTTGCGCCGCTAACAAGTCGTGGAAGCCAACAATATCGTTCATTAACTGTGCCTGAACTGACACAGCAAATGTTTGATGCGAAGAACATGATGGCTGCATGTGATCCTCGTCATGGTCGTTACTTGACAGTGGCGGCGATCTTCCGTGGTCGTATGTCTATGAAGGAGGTGGATGAACAGATGTTGAATGTGCAGAATAAGAATTCGAGTTATTTTGTCGAGTGGATCCCGAATAATATGAAGACGGCAGTATGTGACATTCCTCCTCGTGGTTTGAAGATGTCGGTGACTTTTATTGGTAATAGTACGGCTATTCAAGAGTTGTTTAAGCGTGTTTCTGAACAGTTTACTGCAATGTTCCGTCGTAAAGCGTTTTTACATTGGTACACAGGTGAAGGGATGGATGAGATGGAATTTACTGAGGCTGAATCAAATATGAATGATTTGGTAAGCGAATTCCAACAGTATCAAGACGCGACTGTTGATGATGGGGCATTTGAGTAGATTACCTTTCACATAAATTTCCGTGTATTGATCCATCATTCAAATATATATGTTGAAAATTACTGACCATTAACTTGAATTAATTATCTTATTGTTTCACACTACTTACGAGTAGTTAGACGTCTTTATGAAAATTATATCGTTTATGCGTAATTGTGAATGAGGTTTGTATTCGACATCCAACAAATAAAATTATTTGTTTTGAAAATAACTTGTTATCGCTAATCTTCTTTGTTTGTGAACATATGTTATTACGCAAACGTTTTTCATCAGTATCAGATACGTCTTCGATTTAAATGGTGTTACTATGTGTTTGCCTTGCACTTTATAGAACGATATTAGAAATGTAATAAGTATTACTCCATTAAGAAAAGTACACCTTTTACATCTTAAATTAATGATTTTCTTAGAGCATCAAAGACTTTCATCAATGATCATGTTATACAATTTTATTTCGTGTGAGTGGTTGGTGTTCGGAACATCGGACTGAAAAAGATCGAACAAAGAAACAAATATGCTGGGAAAACAACTAAAATTAGGTAATATTAGGTGTATATTTCTACAATTTAATGTTTAACTAAGAATATTCAACATTCAACAAGGGATTGAAACATTAATTTTCCAGTTTTAATGCCATCTTTGTATGACTACTCGACTTAAGGTTGACCACTAAATTACTAGACTTTCTTCAAGATATATTCCCTAACTTAATATCCAGAGTTAACTGTGTCGAAACTGAGATGGATCCTTATTGAAAGCAATGAATACTAGCCTCTACGCATGTCAACTTAATACCGTTGATTGGGATTTAGTAGTTCAGTTATAGAGTGCTTTTCCCGACCGAAGCTGCTACCTTGACGTGGTGGTCGGGCTTGCCTATCGTGATGACCCATCCGAGCTATATTGGCTGGAACATATGTTCCTGTAGGTTCTACCATGCCAGGCAGGTCGATTGGTGAACGGTAAGACTAAAAGCAGCAACTCAAAGTCTGAGGGCGAAGTCGTACTGCTGACTGTACAGAGGTGTGACAGCAGTAAGGTGTTTCCTTCGGACAATCAGCATGACAGCGATGCTGCCTTCCCACAAGGAGGGGTGGGGTTAGAAAAGGTCGACCCTAAAAATGTCACACCTCACCTTACCTCACGGATTTCCGTCTCCGGCGGTAAGGCCCTTTGAAGAACGGAGCTAACACGTCAAAAACCTTCTACAAAAAGGCCGTGCGCGACCGGCCTCAAGCAGTTGTCCCTTGGGCTCTGCGGTCACGCTCCCAGGTCGTTAAGACCAACACTAATCCAATTTCATTTTCAGGTTCCTCAAGAAATACCCTTCCACGGTGTGGGCAGCCGGGAAGTGATATCAGCTCTCTTACCCGTAACAGCGCACGAAACCAAGTTGGTCACATTCAAATCCTTCCTACACCTCCTAATACCTCTCTTATTTCCATGACTAACCCTCCTCACGTTTCTTTATCACCTCGCACCGCTAGGGCAAACGATTCGACTACGTGGAACGCTATTCCTGGTCTCCTGAAACCACGCTCTAAACTACACGTAGGAGCTTTTAACGTCCGAACACTGTGCCAAATAGGACAACAGGCTTCCTTAGCTAGGACTTTAGAATCCCGCGACATCGATGTGTGCTGCGTCTCCGAAACGCGCATACAGGATCCAAGTAGCATCATTCATTTAACATCACCATGCCAAAATAAAGAACCGACTCGATTTACGCTTCGTGTATCTGGAAGCCCTGATTCTGCTTCCCGTGGCCTCGCCGGCGTAGGCATAGCATTGAGTCCTAGGACAGAACTAGCTCTCCTAGAGTGGATCCCAGTAGACAGTCGATTGTGCGCTGTCCGACTAAACGGAACAATAATAATCCGGAAAGATAGGGACACTCGTCGTTGCCTCTTCGTCGTCTCTGCCTATTTTCCCACTGACTGCAGCTCAGATGATGTAAAAGATGAGTTTTATAGAAAGCTTTCGGACCTTCTCCGAAAAGCTAAGCGCTCGGATGTAGTAATAGTGGCCGGTGACTTTAATGCTCAAGTAGGCAAACTCAACGATAGGGAAAAACACCTAGGTGGATCTTATAGCATCATGGCTCAAAGAACAGATAATGGCGACCGTCTGTTGCAGCTATGCTCAGATAACCGCCTCTTTCTTGCAAATACTAATTTTAGGCATAAGGAAAAACATCTTTTAACATGGAGACCCCCTAATTCGTCCCAGCGTTGGACCCAAATAGATCACATCGTTATCAGCCACCGATGGAGGGGCTCGATAGAAGACTGTCGCTCATTCTGGAGCACATGCTTAGATTCAGATCATGCTCTAGTACGAGCACGTATCTGTCTGCGTCTTACAGGAAGTAGGAAAGACGCTGCAAGTAAACCTCTTAGGGGCCTACTTAATGATAGTCAAGCTAAGAGTATATTTCAGGAACAACTAGGAAAACAGTTGAGCAGCCATGTATGTGATGCCCACCCCGATGCAGCTTGGGATGATATCCGAAAAGCTGTGGAAACAGCAGTGATATCTGCTAGTAAGGTAAATCAGAAGGTTAGGGAGCAACACTGGATCTCAGCAGCATCTATCGCACTGGTAGATGCTCGGAAACTCATTTCATCTGGCTCTGAACATGACGAGAAGCGGATTCAACTTAAGCGCAAGCTGACAAGAAGCCTACGCAATGATCGTGAACAGTGGTGGGTAGCGAAAGCAAGAGAGATGGAAAGGGCAACGGCAATAGGTAATAGCAGACAATTGTTCAGACATGTTAAGGAAACCGACTGTTAGCGAAACAATCTCAGAGAAAGATCGACATATTATTCATTCCCAATCCAGGAGATTGGATCGATGGGAAGAACACTTCAGGGATCAGTTCAACTGGCCTTCAGCCACACTTCGATTTCCCACGATCTCTAGTCAACTTGAGTAGCAAGTTAATGTAGGTCCTCTGTCTCTTTACGAAGTTGAAAAAGCCATAGGAAATCTGAAACGAGGGAGAGCAGCAGGCCCTGACAGATTTACTCCTGAGATTTTTAAGGATAGTGGTTCAGTATTAGCAGTGAGATTAACTGAGGTCCTAGGTAGAATTTGGGAACTGGACGTAATCCCATCTGACTGGTCTCAATCACTGATCGTGCCAGTCTATAAGAAAGGACAAAAGTCCTCTTGTGACAACCACAGAGGAATCAGTTTGACTAATATAGTTTCTAAAATATTAGCTTCAATAATACTTCGACGCCTAACCAAAGCTCGTGAAGAGCAGACTAGAGAAAATCAGGCTGGTTTTCGACCTGCACGTGGTTGTATAGACCAAATATTCACACTACATCAGGTTCTAGAACATAGACACACGTTTAGACGCCCCACAATGGTAGTATTTCTCGACCTTAAGGCGGCATTCG